ATTAAAGACAAAATAATTTATCTGCGTCTAATTGCAAACATTTAAGAAAACTCTCTCTTTCTCTCTTTCGTTCTCTGCACAATATAGAAACTTTTTAATACTTTGTATATTTTAAGCCATCATTATCTCTCACTATCTCAACAAGAACAAAGTAACGCTTTATCCATTAAAGTAAAGCATGCCTTTATGCAATTTTCGATACGATATTTCTTTGAATTTTTTAAACGTGCCGATTTCCAGTGGATAACTAACGCGAAGAAAATTCTGCTTTTCGTATAATCGAGAAAATTGAAAATTTCGAGTATTGTGACTCAGCAATATGCACATGTGTGAACACGTGTTTCTTCTTCATCTTGCTTCGATTGCACTTTAACTTCAAATTGCACTTGGCGCATGTGGATTCTATTGTGCGAATATTGACATTTCCGCATTTTATCATTCTTATTTTTAAATGTTGTCTTTCTTATCTTTACTTAGAGTAAGTAAATTTACAGTTATTGTAATATCTTAAATAAGTATTAATATACAAATAATATTTATACTGCATGAATATTTAATTGCAATTATTACTGCAATTATTTAATTTTTAACAGTAAAAAAATTATTTATTTACCCACAAAATAAAATTTATCTAATTTAATCAAGTAAATTGCCTACTTAATTTACTTTGTTTTTGTTGAATGTAAAAATATTGAAACTAAATGTTATATTTTGAGTAAAAATTCTCTTGCTCTCACATGTGTGGTAACATGTGTTTGTTTTTGTCTGCGTTGTCTTTTTGATGCAACACGAGCTGGACATTCTTTATACAGGCACGTCGACGAAATGTTTTATTCCATAACATCCCTTTGACAATTTTTTATCTGAGAGATGCGCGTTTATATACATTGGATAATATACAATCCGCGAACCGGATGTATCTAAAAAAGCATAGGGCCTCATACATTTATTCCAAACTTAATACGGATGCATTTGTAAAACGCGTATGCATATCATGTTCGAAATTTAAATTTATTCAAGCAATAATTCATAAATCGGAAGAATTTTCGCGCAATCTTTATATATTACGCTACTATGTAATGTAACAAATACATAGGAAAATATTACAACGGACACTTGATCTCTCGATCTTGAATAATACAAATGAAGCTCTTTCTTCCTGCTATCTTCTAATTATCCTGCGAAAGCAACACTATTCCCGGTTGGGAGTTCGGATACGAGAGGGCGATGTTTCTCGAACGCAGCTCCGATATTTAGCATTTATATACGCGACGTAACCGCGTTACTCGGCTACATGGTGCACCCCCTGATCGATAAGCGTGCGGAGGAGGAGAAGGGTGGGTCCAAGGCGCGCGAGAGTGGATTTTTTGTCGCAATCCGCGACAGCTTGATAGCCGTTCGCTCGCGCCGCGTGCATTGATATGACGTGAGGGTCCTGGGGATTTATTGTCGATTTTACAGGGCGCTTCGCACGATCCGTTCGTCGGGAAAATTTCGACTGGCCGGTCGAACGCGCCGGGCTATCGATAAGCCGCGCGATGCACCAGTAATCTGTATGCGCGCGCGCGCGCGCGCGCGGTACAACATATGCATATCACTAAAATACACCTCTCGAAAGTTCGAAGATAATGTTAGCGAAACGATGAGCTCGATCGGCATATATCTCCGCCGTGATTTTAAGAAAACGATGGAAAACAAACTTGCCTTGAAATATAAAAGTCAGCAAGTACAAAAATAAAATTAAACAATGAAACTTGTCTGCGAAATAACGTAGATTTTTATTATTTACTTTGGAATATGTACTCTGTTGTGAAAATATAAATTAATTATCTAAGAATGTAGAAATTATTTATTATAATTGCATTTAATTGTCTCGACTAATCGTGTTTGGAGGCTTTAATTGGATCTTTATTACTAAAAAGTACGTGAGAGAAATTGCTATACGCATACCTGAAACACGATAAATTCATTAACCAAACCCGTTCTAATTACCGCGATAATTGAACTTAATTTCGCAATTTTATTTGCTTTAATTGCAATCTCAATTACCTACTTTTCATTGTGCTCATTCATTAGTTCGCAACAAAGTAGTTTTGCTATTAATATCCCTTGTCTAATAAATTATCGCAGCGAGTTTCTTTTATCGTCATAAACGCGATCGTTAAAGATGATTGACAGTTGAGATGTGTAATATTATTTATACGTGAGCGTGAGGATGATACCTCGGCACGGTTCTGTTGACGCAACCTCGAAGGAATCGTTTCACAGACGCGATTAAATCGCACGACCTTGCCAGCAGGGCTCAACGTTGCTGACATAACGGCATGTGCTCTCAATGACAGTCAGGAACGTCGTTGTGACTTAATAGCATCGACTGCTGGCATGGAACGAGCGCGTGTCCATCCATGCATCCGTGAGATCATTGCCGTATTCACCGTGTATATTTTTTAGCAACGTGGGAAAAATAAACGACCGATTCCAGTAACCGGCCTTGAACCAGGTTTCCATAAAATTAGATCGCGCAG